ACTGACAGCCGCAGTGCAGGTGTGGTGCACCGCCAGAATAGAGAACTAGACCCGGGAATGAAGTCGGAGGAGAGACGAGGAGGGCTGAGAGGTACGAGAGTCAAAAAGAAAATTGGAGGGAGAGGGCAGAGGGAGCGAAGCGAGGAGCGAGACCCGGCTGATTTATGGGAGCAGGTCAGCGCCAAGGCACACATGTGACACTAATGCACAAGGACGGGACAGATGTAGGAGTGAGTGCTGAGTGGCAGCCTGTCATGCACCCATCCTTCAGTTCACCTCAACCCTCCTGAGAGAGAAACAGTCAGAGACACAGCGTGCTCGGCAAATAGTGAGATGATTTAAAGGAGACGGTTCAGTGTCTCTAAGAGGAGCTTGTTTATTTCATACTGGAGTAACTTGACAATCAGATTGGACTTATTAATATAAGAGATAGATTTTAATGGCGCGATTGCTGCCAATAGGAATACGAATTTTGCGTCAATTCATTCTTTTTTTCCCAACGTTTTTTCAACTCAAGCGAGACATTTGAGTGTTGACAGCTACAACGATAGCTTAGCCTAGCCTGATTGTTACGATCTCCTTTCGCAAAACACGCATTTTAAAATAGCTTTGCCGGCTCTCTTGCGGACACACTTACAAAAGCAAAAGTGATTGTATTTTTACAAGCAGTTTCAGTATGTCGTCATTTCGGAATCATTTTGATACGAGTATTACAACTAATTCACGGCAAAAATGTTAATGTTGTTGTTGTAGGAATCTACTTGTAAATTTGCTCGGCCTCCTCGCCAGCTTGATGCAGCAGTAATACTTAAAGTTGGGGATGTTACTTAAAGAGGTGAAAAGAATGCCTGCCAAAATGTAGTGTGGATAAAAAACTTAAGATAGATAATCCTGAAAATAACAAAAACATGGTATTCCTGGTTATACGTGGGATCAGTTACTGGCTGTTTTTGAGGTGTTTGTGAAAAATGTGAGGTAAAAAGTGACACTCACTTGAAATGCATATTTAGACTGTCATTCCCTAAGTAGTTTTCCTGTTACTACCCACCCCCACACTTTGACATCCATCTATTTTCTGCCATTCGATGAGTCGCTAACACGACTTTCAAACATTATTGCTGTGAATGATGCAGCATAATGAGCACGTTTTAAACATCTGGGTCAACATTTCAAACATGTTCAGAGTTTAATGCCTGGTTGTCACCTTGTTTAAAAACTCTGCTAAACCATAGAATTATAACAAACCTTGCATAAATATGCGCTTAACAAGGTTGTTGAGTTTAAATGTATTTTAAGTGTGTGATTTATTCTGAAGTTGATTACCAGAGGGTGTTACTGGAGAAATGAAAAGTTAATGCAGCAACTCACATTAATCCTGTTCAATGTCATTGCACTGAGTAGAGTGGAATTGATGGCCAATAGGGCCTAATGTCAAGCTCAAATATCTACTTAGTCACAGATCTGGGCATTTACTTCTTTAACTTTAACGCATTCTGACAGCCTTGCGTGGCATCAAATAACTGGATTACATCAGAATTCATTAATCAGTATGACTTTTGTTAAAGGGGTCAAGAAAAAAATGGTGTAATGGTATATGGTATAATGGTGTTTCACGATAAAACAAATCATTAAAAAAATTCTATATTGAAATGTATCTAGGTCAAACAGTATGTGAGTATAAAATACCAAACAAAGGTTTCCACTACAGTTGACTAAACAAATGGTACCACAGGTCCCGTTCAGCTCCAGCCCTGCTGCACCTGATAACTGGCTCAAAGTAGAGGACTGTGGTTATTCTGGGTCGCTTCCAGGTGTGAATGTGTCTACAATGCGAGAAAAGGAGGCAAAAAACCACAAGCTGTGCCTGTGGAAAAACAGCGGAACTGAGGTTGGGGTGGGTTGCAGAACTGCACTGCTGTTCACTCACCGTTATACAACAAAACACACAGATTTAACAGAACTTATGGGAACACTGGCTTCTTGAAAAGTACATTGTTATAAACTAAGGAGAGTGGGGAGAAGGCATGGGCTAGACTAGGTCAAAACCTTGTATACTTTATATATGCCACATTTTTGAAAACTGCTATACTGTATACAAATGAAATTCCATTGTAATGGGGGGAAAGCTGAGAGGTTGATATCTATAAATATCTGGACGAATTAAAGCAAAACTCGAAGGCTGGATGCCACAAGAGACAGAAGGAATTTAATTATCTTCTTCTTTAATTTGGGTAAAGCAAATGCTGCCGTGCACCTACCCACCACACGGAGAACAATCAGAGCATCCCCTCTGATGTCCAGACACTGAAAGAAGGTCATAAGGACTCTCCAGAGCCTGTTTGCGAGCATGTCTGTTTGGGTAAGATTCTCTGCCAGGATGAACTATGGCGATGGTATGAGATGGTGCCAAATCAGTCACACTGTATGACTGAGGATGTAAGGTCTGCCATTCGCCTTGAAGGCAGCCTACAAAGCGTCCATAAAATGGCCCATGAAAAAACAGAGGCTGCAGGCTTACAATACTGTCCCTTCATGTGTGCCCTGCGAGTGGGGTTGGAGGATGAAGCAACAAACACATTTGGTTAAACTGTGAAATGTGAACTCTGTATCTATCGCTTGCCAGTATAGCCCCATGTATCAGTGCCTGTGGTTCCTCCAGCAGACGCAGTACAAGGAGGATGTTAATGAACTGCTGTCACACGTAGGCTGGTGCCTTTGAGGCAGCAGTCAGGATTCTCTCCACGTCCTCAGTCTGTTTGCAGTGTGGAGGCTGTGATGTGCTGCCTGACTGCAGAGAGACACTCGCGGACAGACAGGAGGGGACCGACTCAGTACAGGGGGGCCCTGCTGCGGTCCCACTCTCTCACGAGCAGAGCAAAGGCTCAGCTCTATGTGTGTGTGTGTGTGTGTGTGTGTGTGTGTGTGTGTGTGTGTGTGTGTGTGTGTGTGTTCTTCTTAAGGGTGGGGATGTGGTAGGTTTTGACATGTAACATAAAGTTTGAACTATACTACCCTACGACTTTAGGACGGACGTCTACCTCAAAAACTATTATCTCCAGTGTAATTTTACAGTCGACTCTCTCTGCATTGAAGAGGCAACCCTTTTTCTCGTTAGGACCAGCGACACTAGCCGTTGAGATTAACTCTGACCCGCCACAGGCCACCCACCTGGCGTGCTCGGAGTACGACCCGCCACTGTCCACCGTGTCACCCCACGGGTTTTGGTAAGACTGTGATGGGTCCCACCGTCGTCACCGTTGAACGTCCCATTTCGTCACTCGTCTGGCCGAGCAGAGGGTAGTTGATTGTGTTAGTGTTGGAGAGTGTCTACAACAAAAGGAAGCGGAGAGGAAATAGACAACCAATGTTCATGGTTAGTTGTCCGATGTTTGTACGAAGGTCTCATATAAGGCGTACACGTACATAAGGCTTATACGGAGGACGACTCTTTACAAGGACGTGGTGAATCGGTCGTACGTCTCGTCTTTGTGTGTGTGGTGTGTGTTGTGTGTGGTGTGTTGGTGTGTTTGTGTGTGTGTTGTGTGTGTGTGTGTGTGTGTGTGTGTGTGTGTGTGTGTGTGTGTGTGTGTGTGTGTTGTGG